AGAAGTTACTATAATCTTTTGTGATTTATGTGTAAGGGAGGTTGAGGTGGGAAATAGACCCACTACATTTTTTAACAAAGAAGGGTGACGAAATATTTTAGTTAAATTCAAAGAAATGACTGGAAGAGATTACGATCGCATGAAAATGAAGAACAAATGGGACCAGTTAAAGAAGGATTGGAAACTATGGAAAGAACTAAAACAGGGATCAACAGGAATGGGCTGGGATCCTGTTAAGCGCACAATAGATGCACCAGAGTAATGGTGGGCTGAAAAACTACAGGTACATAATTTAATCTTTTTACTTTATGTTTAATCTAATTTCGCATTGACCTGACACTACTTTATTAATGCACATTTGTTATCTATAACAGGCAGTGCCGTCAGCCAAAAAATTTAAATTCGTTGGCATTGATCCAGTAATGGAGGAAAAACTAGATGGAATGTTCACTGGGGTTGTCGCTACAGGAACTCATGCGTTTACCCCAAATGATATAGGGTTGAGCAGCTCAGTTCAAGAGATGGATACCGTGCAGATAGGTCCAATCCAATATTTAGACAATCCAACACTTGGCACTGTTTATCCTTTCCATCTGTATTCACATTTTTTCCACACTTAGTTTTTTTTTTTGGGAAAAATGAGGGCCACACACCACAAATGCATTAAAATATAAACAGAAATTTTAAATTGATGGTTTTTGAATTGATGTTTTTTTTTTTTTGAAATAATCTTAAATTTTATGGAGTCCTGGGTTATAGTTATTGATCTTTGTTGTTCTTATTAAATTACTTGCATGATGATCTTGGATGAGCTCATTTGATCAACCCACGCCAAATTGATACTTGCATGATGATCTTGCATGATGATCTTGGTGGACCTTATGAGAGTTAAAAGCATAAGAATTTAAAGGCATGTTTGCAAATTTTCCTTCAATTTTTTTTTTAGACTCCCATTCTTGTTCTTCACTGAGGGAAGTGATGCCGAAGCATTGAATGACTTTAAGCTTAAGCTGTATTTTTCTTTTTTTTTTTCTTTTTTGTCAAACTATTGAAGTTGGTATGGGAAAAGTGCACCTCTGAGTAGTTGTTTTGAGCTCTATATTAGTTTGTAGTGAAACTCCATACTTAGTGGTGTTGGGGATTTTACAGATCAAGCATGAAGGCTTGTTGTGTATCCCTTGAATTTCTTTTAGTGCAGCCAATGTCTTTAAAAAAGTGCACTCGGAAGTGGGAAAGTTAAGTTATCATCGTGATGCTTTATTGTCAAGTGTTTGCAAAGTCTTTTAGTGCAGCTCTGGGAATGCGATGCAAAGCATC